GCAGTGTTTTATTGCTGTGAAGAGACACCATTACCACAGCATGTAGTACCATTGTCAAGTGGTGACACTACCTTTACTGATGACTAAGCATTCAAATATATGAACTTGTGGGAGCCATTCTTATTCAAATCACATCTGTCTTCAGGACTATTTGAGTGCATATAGGTAAAATCACATTTATAGAATGTATTATGTTATTAAATATTCAAATTATCAAAGTCATTTAATATACTCTAATAATTATTTTTTTTTTGCTTTGGAAGTTTCTTATTTTGTTTTCACATCCTAATAATTATTTTTTGTGAATACCTTTGTAGCAGCATCTATAACATTGCCCACAGGGATAAGAACACAAAAGTCTGTAGAATAGGATTGAGGTGAGAAACCAAGGCCGAGAGACCTGAAGTAGAGCTTGTTTATTTAATAAGGTAAATGAACAGAGATTGAGTATGTGGAGACAAGAATTGCAGGGTGTCTTAGGGTTTTTATTGCTTTGAAGAGGCATCATGACCAAGACAACACTTATAAGGAAAACATTCAACTTGGGTGGCTTCCTTACCGTTTCAGAGATTCTGTTCATTATCATCATGAAGGGAAGCATGGCTGTGCAGGCAGATGTGATGCTGGAGCTGTGAGTGCTGCAGTTTGCAGGCAACAAGAAGTCAACTGACAGGCACACTAAGGGAAGCTTGAGCAAAAGAGACCACAAAGCCCGCCCCCATGGTGACACACTTTTCCAACAAAACCACACCTCCTAATAATGCCACTCCTTTTTGGGACCATTTTTCTTTCAAACTGCCACACACAAAAAATTGTAATTCATGGGGAAAATATCATGGTACTTGGTGCTGGTCTTGTATGAATTAAGTACTTACGGAGAACATTCCAGGTGCATGGAATGCCTTTGACCAGCAGACTATTCTGAAAGATAGTGTAGAGTTTTGGATGGAGGGGTGTGCTCATGTCCAAGAGGATCAGGGAGGCAGGACACAGATAGGAATTGTTTTGCAGAAACAATGAGGAATAAAGGCAGCAAACACTGAGAGCCTTGCCAGAGGATAATGAGAGGACTGTAAGAGGGTGGGCTCCTGGGAGAGGAGCGCTCTGATGTGTCTGTCTTCTAATTAGAAAGATTGCATGGAGATGGCCTGCTAATTGAAAAGGAAATGAACCTAAGATTTGCATGTGTAATGATTGTTTTTGTTTATATGACTTGTGGATGAGAAAGAATTTAGGATGATTTTCAGGGTTTATATTTAAGGGCTTTTGAATATAAGCTGGTTTTTCTTCCTTTCTTTTTTTTAAATTGAAGATAGATATTCATTTATACACTATATTCTGATCACTGTTTCCTCTTCCTCATCCCCTCCAAGATCATTTCCACCTTCTCACCCTTATAATTTCATGCTTTCTTTTTCTCTATTTCTTTAGGAAAAAAAAATATTTATATCAATAAAAACCAATCAACCAACCAGAATAAAACAAAACATAAAGAAACACACACACACACACACACACACACACACACACACACACACAAATAAAAAAAAAGGATGAAAAAGACATACACTTCCAGAGAAATACACACACACAAAACAGTAGGGAAGTAAAGGACAAGTAAGGTTTAAAAAACAAAACAAAAATACCCCCAAAATAAAAAACCAACAACTTATTATGAGAAAAAAACACCCCTGAATATATTTGGGGCTTGGGGCTCCCTATGTATGGTTTCTATATCCAGTGAGACTCCTCTGGGGAGAAACTAATTTCTCTGTATGGACTGTAAATTGGAGATAGTGTCTGGATTAGGGACGCAGGCTCCTATCCACTTCCCCTCTCAACAGTGGCTTAGACCTGCATGGGCCCTCTGCATGCTACCACAGTCTCGGTGAATTCATAGGTGGTTGAGTACTGCTGCGTCTGGAAGGCACTGTTTCATTGGTGTTTCCATTCCCATTGGCTCTTACAATCTTTCTACCTCCTCTTCCACAATTGCTCCTTAAGTCCTGAGATTAGAGATTTGGTAGAGATATCCCATTTAGGACCTAGTGTTCCAAGATCTTTTACTCTCTGCACATTGTCCACTGGTGAGTCCACTGGTGTTACTTTTCATCTCCTGCAGAAGAAAGCTTCTCTAATGCTGGCTGAGAAAAACATTGGTCTTCAGGTATAGCAGAATGACATCATGAGTCATTTTACTACTGTGTTACCTTAGAAGAATAATTGTATTTGGTTTTCCCCCTAGGTCCATGACCTATCTAGTCCTAAGTTTTGGCCACCTAGGTACCATCAGGCATGGATTCTAACTTATGGTGCAGCTCTTATACCCAACCAGATGGTGGTTGGTTACTCCCACAACCTTTGTGCCACTATTGCAGCAATCTGTGTCTAACGTGCTAGACACATCACCATTGTAGATCAAAGGGTTTATAGTTGGGTTGGTGTTTAACTTTATTCTCTGGTACCGTTCAGAGTATCTTCCAGTACCATGAATAGTAGTGGGCAGTTAGTGATAGGACTAGAACACTAGTCTAGTTAGGTATCAGCTTCACTTTTCTGTCTTTAATGAATTAGGTAGGTTTTGTCTTTAACAATAGGTTCTTAATTTCAGTTTCTGGAGAGCAATTAATAGCCTGAGTCCTTCATGTTCTCTATGAGGTCCCTTTGGTCAACATCTCAATTAAATGTAACTGATACACCGAAGATTTTGTTTGGTGGCAAAAGAGGTCTAGTTGGGCCTTTTTCTCCCCTGCTATTTGGTGATTCCCTTCAGATTTCTTTCAAATAATGTAAGTTCCCTGAGAAGGGTTTATTGATACACTATTATTAAAATCAGTGGATCAAGATGGAATTAACGAAATCATGAATGAAAAGGTAAAGGCATAAGAAATGTGCATATATTCTTCTGTTCAGATAATTGTATTCATAATATTCATGTTTTGAGAAGTATGGTTCAAGAAACAGTGAGATTAAAGACATAGAAAATTATCAGAACCTAGTTTTGAACCCTTCCCCAAGGAAAAAAAAGAGAAGGAAATTTAAAGCAATATAATGGTCATTCATGTACTCGTGCTCTAATTTAATAGAAGTAAATATTTTGTATTTTGTGTGCTTATACATTCCACTTATTAAGGCTCCTTCTTTGCCTCCTTCCCCCCATGCTCCCTCCCTTCCTTTTTCCCTCCCTCCTTCTTTTCCTCCCTCCCTCCAGTCTATGTAGGCATACACATATATTACCAGCCAGTGGGATGTGGGAAACAGTAAATTCTAAATAATTGTTAATTTTCCAAATAAATTCGTGAAGCCATGATATCACATTGATAATGGGAAAACTGATGACCACAGACTGTTTTGGTCTGCACAGTGAAGACACGCCAGGAGCACCATGGGAGACTGAAGCACAGACCTTGTGCTCTGTATTAGGTCCGTTCTGCTCCCAGTTTACTTCCTTAACTGTTGACTTTGCATCTGTGGATTGACAAAAATTCTGGGAGGTTTGGATCTCCCTGTATTTTGAGTGTTCCAAATAATGCCAAAGTCAACATTCCCATATATTTTCTTAATCACACGTATGCGAGTGATCCAAAAATAGAAATCTAGAAGTGAAATGCTGGGGTTTGAACATTACCCACTGCTTGTTTATTCCATTCCCTTGTTTATTTCTTTCTGTTTTGTAACTTAGAATAACCTTGAATTTCTGGTCCTCTGCCTCTAAGCATCAGGTGCAAGGATAAAATGTGTACCTCCATGCCTAGTTTATGTGGTACTGGAATCAAACCTGGGCCTTGCTAATGCTAGGCCAATACTCTACTAGCTAAGCTGCAACCCTAGCTCCATTTGCCATTTTCTTAAAGAGTAATCAGTCATTTTTAGAAATAATTCCTAGAGAAGAAGGTCACGAGTAGTTCCATGCTGTATTACCTACATGTAGTCCTTTGGCATAGTATTCCAAGTAATTTTAATCCCATGGATACTTAGAAATTCACCAATGAGACATGAGCTTGAACTCCTAATTAATTGTTTCTCATGGCTAGAGCTTTTCTTTGACATTTATTGGTATTTGACATATACAATTTTAAAATTTGGACTGATGGCTCCTTTCATTGTTCTTGTACATATGCCTTTAATCTTTTTATTGCCTGTCTAGTTTTTGACTGGGTTGTTTATCAGTTTTCTTATTGAACTATAGAAGATCTTTACATATCTTAGCTGTTTATCTTTTTGTTGTTATATTTTTTGACAAATATCTCATCACAGTCTATGTCCTCTGCCACTTTATTTATGGTGTCTTTCAACCTATAGAAGTTATAAATTTTATTTTAGCTGAAAGTTACCATTATCTCCTTTATGGTTTATGCTTATTGGTTTTGTATGAGATACTGTGATATCATAAATATATTCCCTACTTTTTCATTTTCAAACTTGACAGGTATGCTTTTAACATTTAGGGTTTCTTTGATTACTTCTTTAAAAAATATAAATTGGGTGTCATTAATCCCTAAGAGATAGTAGTTTGCCATGAGCCCAGATTTAAGGTTGACTCTCAATCATTAATCAGTATATTGTTGTCATTGTATGGTAAGTCCATGCTATATATTTGGAATAAGAATATATATGGCATGGATTTAATCTCCCTGGGGATGACTGTCACATGTGTGTGCAGGACGTCTTGGTAGTACCCTCCCCCCAAAAAAGACCATCTTCTTTATCCATAAAGAGTCCATGACTCATTTCCATCAGCTTTCTTGTTAATGTGTATATTTTGCCATAGTAACTTGATGGAAAACTGAGAATATAGAACCAAATATACATCCTTTTAAGATTCTGATATCTCTTTTTCCTGATTGCATGACAAAGGTAAAATTCTGTGGGTCTATGGCAGCCATCTTCCGAATAGTTTAGTAACCAGAATTATTTATCATAGATATTGCTTTGCTGAGATACTTTAGATTGATGGCATGGGGAACAACCTGTTTCTAAAGATTGGTTTCTGTTTGCAGAGACGCAATGGAGAAGACATACCCGTGGCTCAGACAAAGAACATCAATCACCGAAGATTTGCTGCCTCTTTCAGATTGCAAGAAGTGACAAAAACCGACCAGGATTTGTACCGCTGCGTAACTCAGTCAGAACGAGGTTCTGGGGTCTCCAATTTTGCTCAGCTTATTGTGAGAGGTAACACGCTTTGCTTCATAAAATTGCATACCTTTATGAGAACTGAGCAAGTCTGTAGACAAAGTGATTGGTTTTTAAACCACGGTATTCTTCATTGCAGGTCACTATTCCATATCATTAGCAAAATTCTGATAATGTCAATTAAAGTGGAGCCTAGTTTTAAAATTGATCCGTTAATTGTCCAACCATTGTCTCATTAAATGAAATCTGATTTTGCCACGTTTAATTGATGAAACATGCACTATATTTTCTTCTGTATCACCTCATAATTTTCATCCCAGCTTGAGAGATGTTCCCTCTTGTTTGAGACATTCTGCAAGTACTGCTATAGTGCTTTATTCCAAGTGTTGTGACAACAAGGTCCCAGGGAATATTACAGGTAGAACCGTAAACATTATCAGCAGCAAATCTCTGTATTAAATGTTCATTATTTCTGGTCTTTTATCAAATCTTACGAAGTCAGAATGGGTTTTTTTTTTTTCTAATCTTAGATGCTAAAGTCATTAGAGGAAAGGGAGAGCTTCCTATATCAGGCATCTCTGTTGTGAATTCAGAGAAAATATAGGCAACTTCAAGATCTATATTACCCTTATTAAAAATTATGATTTTTTTATCTATCTCAGAGAGTGATTTAGGTCAGAGGAACACAGTGTAGGGAGAACAGAGATCCTGGGAACATGACCCTTGACAGTGGGCGCCGTAGGAATCTTATGTACACATGGGCAACATGTACTTGTGGCATTTATTTCTGTGATGATTGTTCTTTTCATGAATGGTTTAATAGTTTCTTTGAGGAGCTGACAAATGGAATACAGAGAGGGAAAGAGAATTAGTTTCATGAAGACTTAGAAGCCAAGGAACTTTGTTGAATCAAATATCAGGCAATCTTGACACAAATGACAACAGTGTGAGGTTGTGTGAACCTCAACATGGAGACTTTTGACCAACCTAGTGGGAACCGAACTCAAAACTATTCAGAGCCATAGGGGAGCCTTTCGTGAATGAGTCTTCTCTGAGTCAGGGAAATACAGGTTGAGAGAACGTTTCTAGTGTCATGTGGATAGGAGAAGACATTGGGTAAAACATACATGCACAGGCATAGAGAGATCACGTTGTGGATAAGAGAGCAAATTGCTCTTTCAGAGGACCCAAGTTCAGTTCCCAGTGCCCACATCAGGTGCCTCGCAACTGCCTACAATTTGAGCTCCAGGGGATCTAACCACTGTTGTCTAACCTCCTTTGGCAACCACACTCATTTGCAAAGACCCTCACACATGTGAATATAAATATCAATAAAACTTCCAAGAGAAAACAACAAGCAGAAACTACAACAGACAGGAAGCATAGCACATGCCATAGTCCAGGAGCTAAAAAGAAAAATGAGATATATTCATATCGCATTAATCTATTTTATAATCTTGATGATGAATAATTGTTAGGAACATTGTTTGGAGATGTACTTGATTCTCATACATTATTCTTTAATAACTATAGAGGACAGGAAATTAAAGTTCAGGTTAGTTGATATTGCTCCCAGAATCATAACAATATAATACCTCACAGAGCCAGACTGCATACCCTGTTTCTTGTCTCTTAGTGATGAGTTCCTTTACCAAGTCAGTTTCTCTAGCATTTAGTATTCACTAATCTTCCTCATCTCTTATATACTTTGCTGAGATCCTATAGCTCATGATAAACAAAACAAACATTGATCTTTGCAGGATGAATATGCTCTTGTCTTCAATGTAACCTTCCTTGTAGCTGCATTGTCTCATATCACCTGCACAAGTTCATGGAATGATAGACGCTCTTACTAAATAAAGAGTAAGACAACATCACACTCTTTTACATCTAGTCTCTGAAAGATATCGTATACCTTCATACTGATGATTGCTTATTCATTAGTGTCAATCACATTTCAGCCCCTTTCGTGTGAGTCTAATTCATTGGTGTTGGGCAACATTGCTATCTCTTTTGTATGAGTCTAATTCTGAAGACGCCAGATGTGCTTGGTCATTCTTTAGTTATTTCACAAGTTAAAAGCACCATGCTCACCGCATCTCTCAAGTCCTGTGTAAGTCTACAACCCTGAAGGAAGTGATACCTGCTTAGGGCTCTTAGACTCTTAGACTGCTTTTGTATACCCTAACTATACAACATGTAGTTAAACATGAATATATATATATATATATATATATATATATATATATATATATATATATAATGAGCAAACACACAGAGTTACATATACATTTCTTTTTTTGTTTTGTTTACTTTTGTTTTTTTCAAGGCAGGGTTTCTCTGGGTAACCTTGGATGTCCTGGAACTCACTCTGTAGACCAGGCTGGCCTTGAACTCAGAGAGAACGTACAGTTCTTAGGAAGGGTACCACACTGGATGTATGGGATGCTGATGATCATTTTATCCATGTCCTTCTCTTTCACAGATAGGATATACCTATTAATGGAAATGTTTGCTTATTTATTAAAAACACTTGTCATGCTTAGAGCTTCAGTGTTTGTAATTCTCTTTTTCTTTCATTTATTTGATTTTTGGCAGTGCTAGATATGAAACCCAGGGTGAAGTACATAAATTTCAGTCAGGCAAGAACTGAGTTATGCCCCTGTTCCTTGTTGCTTGATTTATAATTACATTCTATGATTTTATTGAGGCCTAGTTTTCCTTAGTTGGTGGCAAATACATTGTTTTAATAGCATTTAAACATAATTCTTACATTTCACACATTTAATATTTTTCCTTTCATAAAAAACATTTCTGCATGTTATCCATTTTACTTTAGGTTCTGTGCTATGCATGTGTTAAAGTATCATAGCTCTTTGGGTGTGTTGGTTGCACTTTTGCTAACATTATAAATACCCTTTTTGATACTTTTGTCAGTTTCACTTAGTTTCAACATATTTTAGGATCTGCATCAAATATGTGCAGGTGATACTTTGCTTGTCTTATTATCTGAGGATCGATATAGAGGAATACATTTCCTTATTTGTTCAGATAACCACAAAATAGATACTGCAGACTAAACCATATCCCTGGGGGTCAACTGTCTGATTGCTGACCAAACCTAGGCTCCTGGGAGGTTCAGCTGTCCTGGTACTAAAACAATGGGGAAGATTCTCCGTGGTGACAGGTCCTATCACTCAGTGGCACATTTGCAACTGATGTCCTGCTATATGGACACAAAAGATGGTAATTTTAAGGGAAATTTTTGGGGCAGTGATATGAATAGTCTTTAATGAGAGTTGGCATAGTGTTGCCTGTTGTCAAACATGACCCATGGGTAAGAGTTTATTAGTGCATTTTCTCTCAAACTGGAAGTGACAGGGCATGCTTAAGGCTTTTTTTTTCTTGTTTGCTACAAGTGAAAATTTCAGTGCAAAATTCTCATGCCGAGGAATATTGATCTAATCTATTCCCAGAGCCACGGGAATGGCAGAGTGGGCTGGCGAACAGAATTGCCATAACTCTACCTTTGCTTCCAGATGGTTTTGAGTAATGATAACTTCTGCAACTTGTGCAAGCCGATCTTTATTAACAAAGAAGCTTTTGCACATCTGAGACCAAGAAGAGATGTTTTTTTTTGCTCAGTAATGCTACAAGTTTAGGGAGTGTTGTCTGGATAGAGTGTGCAGAAGTGATGTTTGCTAGCCTCAAAGTGAACGCTAGCCTTCAAGATGACTGTGTGGTGGTTCCTTTTGTCCTTCACTGTTTCGTACATGAGATTCTTTTTGTTCATCTAAATCACCTGTCAGTTTTCATCTGTCCAAGAGAGAAGATGTCAACATTAACACAGAATTTGGATGTGAACGTTAAGATTGTTTATACTGTAGTTATTTGTAGCTTTAAACATAACTTATTTACTTTAATAAGTAGCATTATAATTACATAAACTCAGTAGTTTTCTCAAATTACCAACACAGTGGTTTGATGGAAGTGAAAGCAGCCAGGCTGGGTGAGGCTAGAGGAGGGATGAGGAGGATCCTGCTCCCTTCGTCCTGCAGATGGAGAGAAACGGGCATAGCATTTCCTTCCTGTGGTGCATGAGCCGCCTTTTTCCTTCTCAGGTGAACTGGAGAAGCTACTTTTACATTTGGCTCAAAACATTATTCACCTGAAAAATTAATCTTGCTTTGTCCAATATTCTTTTTCTGACTCTATCATCTCTCTGTGCATACTAGTTTTAAAAAAAAATCACTTCTAAATATTTCATTTTTCTTTTAACAGCAAAGGCATTCAGGCAGTAGAAAGAATGACATACTTTACTAATACTCTTGCAAGCTCGTGGTATAAAGGCCATGGAATTTCTAGCTTCAGACCCTCAGCAGCCTGCTTAATGCCACGGGATATTGATTTTTTAACCAGTTTTCATAGCATAGCTGTCAAATTTGTGAATTCATACAAAGATCTTTTTTCTTAATGGTGACTTGAAGATACCCCCCCCCTTTTAACCTACATTGTGAAAAGATTTTTTTTTACAATTTTTTGGAGGTTGTAATCTAAGCACCTACATTTTATAAAATCTGAATGATGATGAAAGTTATAGAACACACTGATAAACTACCTGTTAATTTCCTTTCTCTCTGATGCCCGTAGAAAGAGAGGAAAGGCCACACAGTCAGCAGGTACCAATTGTTCTAAGTTTCTCGGAGATTTGAAAGTTTCATAGCTAAGTTTTTTGCTCTGCCACTGTACCCTTGAAGATGATAAAGGACACATTTAGAGTCTCCTCTCATTCCGAGTACCTACTTCTGATTCAGGTGTTTCACCATTCGAGTTGGCTGGTACACATCTAAATTCCAAATGAGCCAGAGATCATTCTTATTTCAGGTCCTGTACCGCTAGGAAACCAGAAGGCAGCCACAGATTTGAGTTGCTCTTCTAATCAGTTGGAGGGATGCTTCTCTAAATTGAAAATTTTTAAAACGTGTAATAGGATCTTCATTTATTGAAAAGTAATTGGATTTTAAATATACTCGTCTCTA